CTCTCTCTCTCTCTCTCTCTCTCTCTCTCTCTCTCTCTCTCTCTCTCTCTCTCTCTCTCTCTCTCTCTCTCTCTCTCTCTCCTCGCTCACATACACACACTCTCAAACACTCACTCCCTCTTATGCTGTGCAGCCTGTTTTTCCACATGCTGAACTCTTGTAGTCGATGCACCCACTTCCCAAATCACTATCACCATCCACTTACAATTCTCGTGTTCTTTTTGGCGGTGTCTGGTTCTAGTTGCTGCCTTGTTGGCCCGGAAACAGCGGCTTACCCACGATAACGTCACTCATCGCCGTCACCAGCTGACCTGCTCCCCTTGCAGCCCGGCTGAATGTCGCGAGGTGACACTTACGACGTGCGCATTTGTCGACCCGCTCCGCCGGCTGCGCCACGTCTCCATACGCCCGCTGTGTCGCTTCGCACGGAGCGTGCTCCATCGCGCACAAGTGCTCGCAGCGAGTGGCTGTCAGGCTGATGTGATCGCGGTCGTCGCAGGCGTGCTGTCCCAGACGCTGCCCGCGGCTCTCAACGCCCTGGTGCCGGACGTCGACTTCACCAGCTACATCGCCGCCAGCTACGTCAAGCTGCTGGAGGCGGCTGGGGCGCGGGTCGTGCCCGTGCTGTGAGTGCCGTGCAGGCCGGAGGCGACGGGGGAGAAGGGGGGGGGGCGTCGGTGCATCTCTGGTACGCAGCGTTGCAGGAGAGTGGGGAGTGGCGATAGTTGCGCCCGCGTTGCGACAGTGGCGCCTGCGCTGCGACAGTAGCGCCCGCGTTGCGACAGTGGCGCCTGCACTGCGACAGTAGCGCCCGCGTTGCGACAGTGGCGCCTGCGCTGCGAGAGTAGCGCCCGCGCTACGACAGTGGCGCCCGCGCTGCCGGCAACACCATCGCGTTTGGGGTGCGGGTCAGCTCGGCCAGCACACGTGTGGCCGTTGTCGCGGCCCGCCTGCCCGCTCCGAGCGCCTCAACGAAGATCAAGAGTGCATTGATTGTTGGGGTGCTTCGACAGTCCGGTCTGAATAGGCGAGTACGCGAGTGTGGTTAGTAAGGTGAGTTCGGTCAGGGTCGATTTTGACCTTGTTTAAGGTCATTTCGGATAGAATGTCCGTTCGGCCGCAGGTGTTGTCGGTTCGCTGGCGGTGACGCAGCAGGTTTGGGTGCTGAAGGATGTGCGCTCCGCGTGTACGAAATCTCGGATACGGATGTAGAGACTACCACACCACTGGGCCTTGGCCTCGTTCCTGGGAACACACGTGGCAGCGTAACTGCTATGTCGTCTTATTTGTTGTGCGCAGGCACTCTCCCGCTCCACGCCACGCGGCGCAAATAACAATCCAGCAACGTGATCGTGAACCAAAGCGTGCGTCCTCACCGTCCACCGGGCCGGCCGCGGTCGCGGTCCCAAATCACAAAGCTTGCGCCCTCGCCGCTCACCTCGCCGCGGCCGCCGACAGGGTCGACCAGTCGGACCACTACTACCGCGAGATGTACCGCTACCTGAACGGCCTGCTGCTGCCGAGCGGCGAGGCCAGCGTCCGCGACACGCCGTACGTGCGCGCCGTCAGGTCGGTGTGGGCCGTGGCCGGCAAGCACCCGAAGGTGAGAAGGCAAGCACCCGAAGGGACGCTGGCGGAGCTCCGCCGCTAGCCGGGGGCGGGCGAGGGCGTGGGAGAGGGGGGAGGGGGGCGTTCGTCAGGTGAATCTGTGTGGCTCTCCGTGTGGGAGCGACGATCGTGATGGTGTGATGCCTTAGCGTACAGGTAGTTGGCTTGGGCCTTCGTGTCATGGCGTATGGGTTGTATGGGGGGGGGGCATGATGGCTTCACTAGGAATTGGGGAGGGGAGAGAGGGAGGTATCCATGTCCCTTTCAATGTTCGTGGAACTATGCATTTGTCGTATCGTGACACACCGCTAAAATGTGGATCTTGCCAACAGCCTGCCCCACCATCCACCCCACCCCCCGTCCTCATAGTGGCCGTTCCCGCGTCCCGCCCACGCCGTTGGTCTCCCGCCTTCTGTATCAGGCTCCAGTGGCTCCCCTGGCCGGACTGATGACGGGCGTGGGGGGGGGGGGGGGGGGACAGGCTTGCGCTGGCCTGAGCGGGTCTGATGCGGTCTAGTCAGTATTGTAGGACCGCCGGACTACATCTGTCCTGATCAATCAAGAAACCTGCCCTGTCCTGACGGCAGCTGGCATAACCCTCCCCGCGACTGCGCGACCACTTCTCCGTGCTGGGTATCAGCCGTGGTATGGAGATGATCGTGACCTGACCTGACCTGACCTGACCCGACCTGCCCTGTCCTGCCCTTCCCTGCCCTGACTTGATCTGCCCTGCCCTGACCAGACCTGACCTGACCTGACCTGACCTGACCTGACCTGACCTGACCTGACTGACCTGACATGATCCTTCGCGCGGGTGTACGACCACTTCCCCGTGCTGGGTTGCAGCCGTGGCATGGAGATCATCGCGGCCTACCCTGTCGTGACGTGACCTGACATGACATGACATGATCCTCGCGCGGCTGCAGGACCACTTCCCCGTGCTCGGCATCAGCCGTGGCATGGAGATGATCGCGAAGGTGGAGCAGGACCGGATACGCTTCGCCGACTGCGACGCCATCAACATGGCTGGGCAGCTACACATAGAGACAGGTGAGCGCCGCCGCCGCCGCTCCGATGCGCCTGGCTGCCATATACACCGAGTGGTCGTGGATGAAGGGCAGATGTCAGCTAACTTTGGAGCGTGATAACCGTTTGATTTGTCTGGCTCGTGTGGGTGCTCTGTGGACCGCAGTGTCGGGTTGTCGTAGGGCGGTGACTGACGGCTGGATGTGGTGAGACGTTACGATTGGACGTTCGGCTTCTGGTCGGTTCGCTGCGCGCCGCGCGGTGGGCGTTCCCTGGCGAATGACTCCAGCCAATCGGGTGTGTCCCGCCGCTGCCGTGCACCCCGTATGCGTAAGCCTCGGCCTACGATCTTGGGTCTCGGACCACGCCGCCGGCGCCCTCGCTGGCCCACCGCGCGCTCATCGCAGCTCCACGTCCCCCATCGTCGCCGCCACGCCGCAGCGGTCGCCACCGCTGCACCGATGGAAACCGCCGAGTCAAAATCGCGCACGTCACACGGCCGTCACCTGGCCTCGCGCGGTCTGAGACTCGTTGCGCTGGCCTCTGCCAGGCATCGACCTCCAGCAACTAACGTACGGCGCCCTCTCCCTCACCGCAGACGGCGAGCGCAGCAGCTTGCTCCGGGACGTGGACGCGCCGCTGCGCCGCGCCCTGGCCTCGGGCAGCCTCACCTACAGCTCCCACGGGCGGTGCCTGACGCCAGAGCGGCTGGAGGCCGGCGGTCTGGCCGAGGACTTCCGGGCGGTGGCGACCGGGCGGGACCGCGCCGGCAGGAAGTTCGTCAGCGTCATGGAGCACAAACGGTGAGAGCTGGCTCCTGCCGGGCGCGCCGTCGAAGGGTGCCGCGCTGGGGAGGCGTACGGTAAGGAGCGTTGTTTGTGCTGGCCTGTGTGGCGGTGGACGCTTGGCAGGCGCGTGGACGCTTGGCAACGAAGCCGACGCGTTGTGAAATGGATTGTGGTTGATTGCAGCTCGGCGTGGGTGGGAATGTGTGGATGTCTCGAAGCTAGTCCCCTTCCTCGGGGTCTGCCAGTGTTCTGTTCTAAGGGTTTAGTGATGGGTTGGAGGATCTGATGTCGAACAAGGACGACTCATGTTGTTTGCAGCATGATGTTGCAATTATTGTGGCTGCGAACTGACGAGGTGTGTGCACTGAACTGAAAGTTTCACATTGGCCATCAGGTTGTCATTCGTGTCACTTGCCCTGGCTCTATTTGAGCCGAAGAGAGAGGGGGAGTCCTCATGTGTCGATCAGTTCAGTTCAGCTCGGTTTTACGAATAATCCACGAAGTGAGTTTTACCATTTGACGTCAAAAGGCAAGACACTGCAAGGACCTAGACTGGCTGTCACGCAGGACAGTCGGGTGTTCAGTTTATGCAACCAAGTTGAAAACGAACCATGCGTCATGCAGATAAAACACAAAACGAACGACAGCACGGTAAACAAACGAACAATTATTCACGGCAAACAAGCACGGACGAGCGTCTTGGACCGACGGCACGCAGCCCGTCGTCTTCCCGGTCGGTCTGGCCGCTCGCCGACCCTGCCACCTCTGCGCCGGGCGCGGGCGTGACGCCGGCCCCTCTGTGGCCCGTAGGCTGCCGATCTTCGGCGTGCAGTTCAGCCCGCAGATGTCGCCGTTCGAGTGGGCCCGCTCGGCCGAGGTGGACGCCGTGCCTCGCGCGCCCGACGCCATCCGGCTGTCCCAGCTGATCGCCAACGCCTTCGTCGACGAGGGTACGGTGTGGCGGGCGGCGCCGACGCCGAGCCCGGCGCGCCACGCGGTTCGGGACGGCCGGTCGCTGCTGCGGCGCGGAGCGATGGCCCGGTGGCGCCAGTCGTACTGGCGTAGGAGCTGAGCAGTCTCATCGTGGTCGTGAAGCGCCCCGCGTGGGGAAGAAAGGAAGTGTTTCTGGCGTTTTGTCTCATGCGAAGTGGTGAAACGCATACGCGCGCGCATTTGCAGGCCCTTTTAGAGCGAAGCGATCCATGTATGCTGGTCATGAGCATAAGGGACGTCTGAGCAGCTGCTGACTAACGCCCCGCGTTGTACGTTGCCCGGTCGTGCTGTCCGCTGCCACCCAGCGGCAAAATCTCACATGTTGATTTTTGGCCATTTTGCGTTGTTTGTCCTCAGATTCGTCTACTCATGCTGAGTTCGGTTATTTAAGCGAGTTGAAATTTTCACGAACTTTTATCCCCTTCTTTTAGCTAAGCAGTTTTAAAACTTTCAACTATTCGTTTCAGTGTCCTAATTCAGCATGAGTAGACGAATCGGATGACATTAAGAACGCAAAATGGCCAGAAATAAACATATGGGGTTTTACATTTGGGCGACAGTCGTATGCCATGGTGCTCGCCATACTCGATCTCCCCACGTTGGATGTCGCGCCTGACCGACGCTTGGTGCGCTCGGCAGCCCGCAAGAGCCGGCATCGGTTCCCGTCGCCGGAGCTGGAGGAGGACTACCTGATCTACAACTACGAGCCCGAGTTCACGGGCGTCGTGGGCAGCACGTACACCAGCTGCTACTTCTTCTCGTAGTTGCTGCCGGTCGAGGTCGGCCTTCCCGCGAGCCTCGTCTGTCGGAGCCGGTCGCTGAAGCCGCTGCCGGAGGCCTCGGGCTTGCCTGGCGGGCTTCTGCCCCACACCGGATGTCCTCAGCTCTCCCTGCGTGCGGGCGTGACCGGAAAAGGCGCCGGGCTCTGCCGCGCAGCGTGGCTACCGCGGCCGTCGCAGCTGCCGCCTGTCGCCGCACGCGCATTACCGCCCACTCGCTTTACGCTTTTTGCACCGCTGGCCTGGATCCGGCAGAGCTGCACCCGTGTGGGGAACGTACCCCGGACTGCGGGCGCGTTCTCGGAAGCCACTGATTGGCTTGCGGCCGACCTGATTAAAGACGCATTCTACTGCATGTGTGAACAGCTCGCTGAGGCAGCAGGGGGTTGTGTGCCTGCATATGCGAGCCTATGGTGGAAGCAAGTGCCAGAGCGTAGCGTTTAGCGTGGCGGCATGGTCCACGCCGGATTGCTAGGTGTTGCATGTACTTTTAGCCACGTCCACCTGTGTCAGGCAGTCTACAGTCACTGCAGCCCCGGGAGGTATTCGGAACGTTTGACGGTATTAAAACCACGCGATGCTGAAGACAGCCTCAGTCAAGGCGTTACTATTTTGGACAGTCGTATGATTACGTAAAAACGGAGATGCAGGAGACGATGTTTTCGCGAGAACGGTCACAGCAAACTCGACATATATTTATAGCTGTATCGCCATCTTCGTATATAACGTTTAGCGTTATGTTGTGCTTATGGGTTGCGATCCTAGCCCACATGCGAAATCATGGTGTGGTTATGTTATTTGCTGCATGCAAGTGTTCGTGGGCCTGGTACCTGCATGCCTGTATGCGTGTCATATTTTTAGGCTCTGGCTGAATCAAATACAAGTCACTGTGGTCCCTGCTGCTTTTCTTGTGGATTTCACCTTCCGAGGGTGTCATACAAATGTTATACAAGTGCAAATCCACAGATTACTATGGAATGGAATGTCTGGATCATCAGGACAATGTATATGGTCGCAAAATTCCGATGATTATTTTGTCGGCAATTCTTCCGATAGCTTACAATTTCCCTAACCTATCGTCGAGCAGACCACTTCAGCCAGCGGAGGCCTTCTGTGTAGGTCACTTTTGATGCATCTTGGTTGAAGGTGGCCTCTATGCTCTCATGTGAGGGTGATGAACGATTGACCAAGACGCAGGAAAGACGAAGCGAAGAGAAAAACCTAACGGTAAGAACAGATTCAAATATTGGCCTATCCTTTTCATGCGGATGGTGTAATATGGTAAGTGGAAATGGGAACGAACTGGCAGCAAGCGACCTCGCAGGGGCACCGGCTTCGGCCGGTGTAGGGGATTAGCGCCCCCTCGGGTCCCAGCTCCGGTAACGGGTGGACAGCGCAAGCTGTTCCTCTCAGGGCGTAACGACCCTGTCGGTACGTAAGCTCCCACTCCTTGTCCCGTCCGCTCCCTCACCATTACCCATTTTCCTGCATCCGGCCCACTCATCACTCCTGATCCTCGTTTTATCGGGGTCGCCGTGCCCCCTCGCCCACGTCCCCGAGTTGATCGGATCCTGGTGGCTGAGGGGCGCGTCGTGCGGGTCAGTCACGGTGCGCCCAACACTCCACTTTGGCCAGGATATCCAGGTGGGGGGCCCGTGTGGCCCCACACGGGTCTAGCGGCGTGTCGCTTGCGTTGCGGTTGGGTGCTCCTTGCGTGTCCCCGCTAAGGGCGCCTGGCCGCGTGCAGCGGCTTAAGGGGTCAAGGGGCGGCGGCGCGGACGGGGAGGGGTCTCCCCGGTTACACCTGTTCGTGTAGGAGGCGTCGTTCGCCCCGTATAGCACCGGGGTAGCCCTGGCGGTGACCACTTCCCGAGGGAGAGTTGGGCCGTCCCCCAATTGGGCTCCCGAGGTGGGTGGGGAGCCCCGGTGCCGAAATAAAAACCCCTTTTTGCATGGCAACTTCAATCCAAAAAAACACCCGCACCCCGAAAGGGGGGCGGACAGAGAGTACAGGTGGTGGCGCGTCAGCGCCTACCCCTCGAATCTTGATTTTCCGAGGCGCCGAGAAGCCGCTGTCGTCCCTTTCGCCCTTTCAAAGGCGAAATGGGTGTGATCGGTTTGGAAAGGTGCTCCGATGTGATAGCTCAAAGACGGTGGGATCGAGGTCGAGTTTCAGAATGGAGAGGAGGCGAAACGGGCAATGACTTCGGATAGGTTTGTGTACTGTGTGCGAGATGCGGAAAGGAAAAAGGACGTGTCAGTAGCGATGACCGTTGAGGTTCACAGGACAAAAAACTTTTCAAAGGGTATCATCAACTGCTTTAACTTGAAAGATGTCAGTGAGGAGGAAATAGTCGACGGCCTCGCCGAGTTCGGGGTGACGGATGCCGCATTAAGGTGCGCAGGGGTGCGGAGTTGGTCCTCACCAACAACATCGTACTGACTTTTAACCGTCCTGACATACCATCTGAAGTAAGGGTAGGCATGTGAAGGTGAAGGTGCGCCTTTTTATTCCGAACCCCATGAGATGTTTTAAGTGCCAGATGTTTGGACATACGAGCGATTTCTGCCGCAACCAGCCAGCATGTGGCAAGTGTGCTTCTCCGGGGCACCCGAGTGATCAGTGCACTGCAGCGAGCCCATGGTGTGTTAACTGTGGGAAAAACCAAAAACCTCATTCTACTTTCGATCGTTCATGTCCGGCGTACGCCAGAGAGAAGGAGATTATTGCATTGAAAACAACGAAGAACATCTCATTTCGTGAAGCGAGGGATCTGTATGAACTGAGCCACCCCAAGAAGTCATATGCCACAGCGGCCAAGGCTCCTGTCGCACCTGAAACATCCTTAGATCATATGACTGGAACCCAACTCATTGAACTACTTAAATCGTTCGGGCTGTCGGTTGTACCGGCGTCCCAGGTGCACACCACCGTATCGACAACATCATCGTCCCCCGTGCCGTTAGCACCCCGCGCCCCTTCTGAGGCAGAGGCCAGCTCGCCAGTTGTTGCCTCGCCGTCTCACCCCTCCCCGGTGCCGGAGAGCCCGGTGCCCGCCGTGGTGCCAGCCTCCGCGGCATCATCTGACGCGCCGGCGGAGGGAGAGGGGTGGACGGTCGTTCAGCGTGGCCGGGGCCTGCGGACTTTGCCGGCCTCACCATCCAGCACCCAGTTGCCGTCGTCTCCAGTGACATCCGCTGCGAGCACTTCTGGAAGAGCGCTTGAAACCCTAGAGCGCCACGGGGCAGACAGGCGCGTCCGTGAGGCTAAAAAGGCGCGTCTGGCTGAGCAGGAGCGGGCCAAAGCAGCCAACAGGCTGTCAGGAGCGGCTGCCAGGCTGTCCCTCCTCCGCCACCACCACGTACGGGATATGCTGGCTCCAAGCGTGTCCCGTCTAGGCCCTTGTCCCCAAGTGACGGGGGTAGCCCAAGGTCCCGCCCAGGCTGGGGCACCGATCTGTGGAACTGGGTTCCGGGGCTGAGATATCTGGCGCTTCATCTGGAGCGGCGCAGTTGTTTTAAATCTCATCTTTTAAGTGTGAGATATTGCATCTTCTTTTACACGTCCTTTTACTGTCGTTTTTACAGTGGAACCGCTGTTCTTTTGAACCGTGTCGCGTCTTAAAGTGTGACTTTGACCCTTTTTTACTGCGCCCTCTGGCAGGCGTATTGACTGTGATATTCTGCGCGCTGTGCTGGTGAGCTAGGTGTGTAATGGCTACCCTCACTTTTTAGTTTTATGACAAGTATCTTACAGTGGAACTGCAGGAGCGTGAGAACTAGTCCACACGATCTCAGAGTCATTTTGAATCAGCGCTGTCCGGCCATCGCCTGCCTGCAGGAGACCAAACTGGCACCTGGCTCTCATATTAGTATCCCGAGCTACAGCGTAATGCGTCGGGATATGCCAGCTGATCCAATTGCACACGGCGGAGTTCTTTTGGCTGTGCACCACAGTGTCTCCGTCCAACGCGTGGTCTTACACTCGGACCTGCAAGCTGTTGCAGCTAAGGTACGTTTTGGGCGTCGTGCAATAACCGTCTGCTCGCTTTACTTGCCTCCTGGTGCTCCATTTCCGACGGCAGAAATTAGATGCCTGCTGGCCGAGCTTCCCCCGCCTCTTCTATTGCTGGGTGACTTTAATGCTCACCACACATCTTGGGGCTGCGCCCAGACCAACACCCGCGGCAGGCATTGCGAAACTTTTTTACACGATGAATCTCTCTGTATTTTAAACACCGGGACCCGAACCCACATGACGCTGCCGTCAGGTCAGACATCGGCGCTGGACTTGAGTTTTGCCAGCCCCCAACTGGCGGCACACCTGACATGGTCGGTTGACAACGAATCCTTTGGTAGTGACCACTACCCCATCTGGTTGCGTTACCAGAACGGAGCAGCTCTCGGTTCCAGGTCAGAACGGTGGAATCTTAGAAAGGCCGACTGGGATAAATTTCAGGCACGTGTGGAAACCAGGTCAGCCTCCGGTTCGGTGGAAGCGCCTGCATCGATAGATAAACTCACCTCCACAATCTTACGATCGGCAGAAGAAAGCATACCACATACATCCGGTGCCCCACGTCGTCCCCCTGTTCCGTGGTGGACGGACCAGTGCCGCGACGCCATCTATGCGCGTAAGAGGGCCCTTAGAAAGTTTGACCGTCGGAGCACGACTGAGAATCTTATTGCATTTCGACGAGCACGAGCGACTGCTAGACGCACCATTCTAGAGGCTAAGCGGGCATCGTGTCGATCGTACATCGGCCAAACAAACTGCCAAACACCGGCATCCAATGTATGGTCAAACGCATTGCGGGACAGCACTCGTCTGTGCCACACCCTGTGCTCCGTATCAATGGACGCGATATTATACACACAGCTGACTTAGCAAATGAAATCGCTCGCGCATTCTCCGAACGGTGTGGTAACGGCGATGCCGTCCCACAGTTTATGCGTCACCGGGTTCGCTGCGAGGCATCCCCTGTCGACTTCAGCACGACGGAGCAGATGTCGTATAACCGACCTTTTACAATGGCCGAACTATTTTCCGCGATTGGATCGCTGCGCAACGTGGCAGAGGGTCCGGATCTAGTTGACAACGTCATGCTTAAGCAACTCCCCACTTCAGTAGTTGAGGACCTCTTAGCAACGTACAACAATCTCTGGGAGAATGGAGGTTTTCCGGAGTCGTGGCGTGAGTCACATGTTGTCCCTATGCTCAAGCCTAGTGAGAGTGGGGCTGACCCTGCCGACTATCGCCCTATCTCACTGACATTATGCGTTTGTAAGTTGATGGAACGTATGATAAATGTGCGTTTGTCGTGGTTTTGGGAGCGGTACAACGTTTTTACGGCTTACAATGTGGATTCGGAAAAACTCGCAGCACCATTGATCATCTTATAGCTCTGGACACAAACATTCGCACCAGTTTTAGGGAAAAACGACATGTTGGCGTCGTGTTTTTTTATGTTGAAAAAGCCTATGATACGACGAGGCGTTATGGCATCCTGAAAAAGCTTTCATTATGGCATTCGAGGAGCCATGGGCACGTTCCTAGCGAACTTTATGACCGATCGTTCTTTCAGAGTTCGTGTTGGCTCACACTTCTCGGATAGATACCAACAAGATAATGGTGTGTCCCAGGGCAGTGTTCTGAGCGTCACTTTGTTCGCGGTGATGATTAACGATATTGGTGACTCCCTTCCAAAGTCGGTCAGCCGCTCTCTCTTCGTGGATGACGTCGCCATCTGGTATGCCTCGTCAAACTTTACCTCCTTGGAGCGTCGCTTGCAGTCGGCTGTGATCAGCCTGAAAATATAGAATGTTATAAACGGACTACGTTTCTCGGCCTCGAAAACAGTCGCTATACACTTTTGCAGACGACGTCGTCAATGCCCCGC